TTCCTGACTCACGTTTTATTTCTGATGTTTCCAAAGGCTCTTTGAACAGCAGATAATGGATCAGGGCTGGAGAGCTGCAGGGTGAAGACACACACACACACAGAGACACACACATTCGAACTCCATCCACATGGCAGCGGTGATGAGTGTAGGCGGCAGCAGGGTGAAGATACACCACCGTACTCGACAAGCAACGAGTGGGAAGCAAACACACAGACGCACAAACGCACACGCTTCATCTCTTTTCATGGTGGAAACAGACAGTAAAGCTGTCTTCCATAACTAACAACATTGAGGACGTATCCATGTCCTGACACGAGAGTGTTTACGGAAACCGAACATGCCAAGGTTGCCATGGGGACGATCTGAACAGGCGTACAGTCATCAGTAGCAGGATAAAAATCTGTTACACGTCAGGCCAGCAAACACACAACACTGAACTGATGTTTACCCACCCCAGGGTCGTCATGGTGACGATGGTGTACCAGAAGGAGGCCGGGATGGAGGTGAAGTCGGAGCTTTTGGTGCCTTTCTCGGCGTAGAACATGACGGTGGCGAAGATGATGATGGCCATGGTGAGGGAGAAGAGCAGGAAGCCGAGCTCGGAGGCGCAGCTCTTGAGCGTGTAGCCCAAAATCCTCAAACCCTGAGAGTGACGTGAGAACTTGAAGATCCGGAAGACGCGGAAAACCCGGAGGGTGACGAAGGCGCCGCTCACGTCCTCGTTCTCGGGCATCACCAGGCCGATGTAGTACGGCATTATAGCCACTACGTCAATCACAGACATCACAGAGCGCATGAACTTGCAGCGACTGGGCGCGGCGAACAGGCGCATCAAGTACTCGAAGGTGAAGATGAGCACGCAGGCCGTGTCCATGCAGAAGAAGGCCAGCTGATATTTCTCCCCACAGGGAAGGTCCTTAACTCTGCCCTCTGGAGGCCGGCAGGGCACCGTCTCCACCACGTTGGCGATCACTGACACAGCGATGAAGAAGCCGGTGACATAGTAGAAGACAAGCGCCATGGTGGAGGTGTGGGGGTTCTCGAAGGCTCGCCACAAACGCTCCCTGGGGGTGCTGTCAGGAGGAAGTGGGGCGTCTATCGACTCGTTGGCCTCCGTGTCCTCTGCCAGACGCTCCTGGTTCTCTTTTTTCCTGTCTCTGTATTCCTTCACAGGAAAGGGGAATGGAAAAGAAAAACTTTAGTGTCGCTTACATTAAGTGCCTGATGTGGCTGAGCACAAAACAAAGGGATTCTGTAACTGTGTGTAGTTTGTGATGAGATCAGGTTTCTTCTCATGTGGAAAGAATTTTTCAGAAGACAGATAAAAATACAAACTCCATTTACTATGAAAGGAGAACAGTTGAACACATTACAGGCACAACAACCATCCATTTCTGATAGTCTGTGCTCACACAGAGTCCCCTCGTGCACCTACGCTGTAGATAAGGAAAGACCTCGTGACTTTAAACTGCCTACAAGCAGCTGGGCTGCCCTCGTAGCCTATCCTTGAGCCAAAACATCCACAGACAGAAGTCATACAAAATCCTTTCAGATACTTATTTGTCCTTTTCTAATGCTGATACATGAGAGCCTTGCTCAGGTTTCTGGAGTTGACCAATCAGAGTAAACCATGAATTTTGTGATGAGGTGAAGCTCCAACTCAGCAATATTTTACTTACATCGTTTAAAGAACCTCAGAATATTGCCGTTTGGAAGGCAAAGAAGGAGAAATACTTTAAAGTAATTAACTAATGTTTTTAACTAATAGATATCTGTTTCTGTTGTCACTTTAATGGTCATTGCAGTTATTGCTATGATATTAGTGACAAGAAAGTATTATTTTGGTTAGTTATGTGGTATACTTCTTATCAAATAAGCATCAGAGTAGAGCTCCTTTGGTGAAATAGCCCATCATTGGCTCAATAATTAAATTAGAACAATGCTTCCCAATATTTACGATGTTTTAAATCTTAGTTTTAGAGTTTGTAACAACTTTCAAATCAATTGAATTTTATTTGTGCAGCACCAAATTACAACAACAGTTGCCTCAAGGTGCTTTATGTTGTAAGGTAGACCCTACAATAATAGATACAGAGAAAAACCCAACAATCATATGACCCCCTATGAGCAGCACTTTGGTGACAGTGGGAAGGAAAAACTCCCTTTTAACAGGAAGAAACCTCCAGCAGAGGCAGGCTCAGGGAGGGGCGGGGCCATCTGCCACGGCCGGTTGGGGTGGGAGAAGGAAGACAATTTTCACAACTATGTCTGAAAGATATAGTTTACTGAATACTTTCTGAGGCATAAACTACAAATAAACAATACAATACTTTTCCCCTAATCTGGGGCAAAGACACGACTTTGACATGGTTTACTCGCACTGACTGCAATCCCTCTAAAACAGATTGGTGAAGGTCTGCAATAAATCAAGATCCAATATATAAATATGGATCATTTGCCAACATATAATCACGGCGAGTCAGTCTGTGCTGATGAGCGCAACTCCTCTGTCCATCAAATAATAAAACAATGGCTGTACATTTAACACAAAAGGCATGTCTTATTTTGTGCTGCTATGTGTGTGTGTGTCAGTTGCTGCTTGGAGTGTTCATCTATCTGGGATGAGAGGGAGAGATGTGATCAGGAAGAGTGCGTAATTGGCAGGGCTGGATGGGTCAAAGCTTTGAGTGCATTAACAAAACTTTGGCTCTGTCCTGGTGCTGTTTACTCAGTCCTCACTCTGAGCCCCACACAGACCCGTTCTGCACTAATACTGATATGTTACTGAAACAGAGCAGACGTAAACCGAACTCAACAGAGAGTCAGAGTGAGGAAGGAGGAGAATACTATTGCTAGACGCATACGAGGATGCACGTTTTCCTTTTCAAAGGGAGCAGAGTAGGTTCCAGTGTTTCAGGCTGACAGAGATAAGCCATCACTCCCTGCCTTCTCTCAGCAGTGCGCACACAGAGCAGCATCAATGTTTCCTGCTTTGCTTCCCTTCAAAGCGCTATTTCATAACATGTCTGTCAAAAGGCAACTCATTGTGGGACTAATTGGATTGATGTTACAAAATGTCGACATTATAATTAGTCAAATTAATATCTACGATGCATAGTTCAAGTACAAATGTAACAATAGATGGTTTAACATGCCAGAATTAGATCCTGCGTCCGTTAAAGTAGTCCCGTTACTTTACTATAAAATAAAATAAAATGTTTTGTGTTTGCACTCACTCTTTCAAATAGATGCAAGTGAAACACAGCAGAAAATAAAGAAAATCAAAGATTCAGCAGCACTGAGTCCTGTTGCTCTTAAATCTATTGTCACCTGCTTAGCAGGAGTGGGGCGGGGGAAGTTTGCACCGGTGCCACAGCGGTCATGTCAGTGGGAGGATCCGGGGGTTTCTCTGTGAATTTCACATTCTCATGGCAGCGTGCTCAGCACTCGCTCAGATTTGAAATTAAATTTTTTGCTGTATAAAGAAGTTTCGTCCCACAAAGAATGTACAGTGGACACTAATGGTTTTGTCACTTTTTACAAAATCAAACTCAAAGTAATGTGAGTACTTCCAAGCTTAAACGCTGCATGTTCGTACTCTCTCCTGCACTCCATATTATCCATTGTTGATCACGTCTGTTGCTGCCACAGACGTCACACGCTCGACATCATTGTCATGAGACACTCTCACAATCAAAATCCCGGTTTAGTAACGCAGATGCTTATGGGAAAGTAGCAGTAATCTAATTACTTTTTTGCAATCATAATCCCTTACTTCATTGCTTACTTGAAAAAGTAATCAGATTACAGTAAGCTTTGGTATTGAATATTTAATAAAGCTGTCAGTTTAAAGGAAGAATGAATATTACACTTCTGTAGATGATTAAGAAAACCGTCTGTTTTGATGAGAGATTTTTTCCGCTCTCCTGCAGAGCATCACTTTTTTTAAACACCTCTCTGAACCTCCATACAGGGAGGGGGCATCTTGTTTTGCTCAATGAAATCAACAGCAAACCTTCAGAGTCTGAGAGTTAATAAATATATGAAAATGACCCATCATAGGCTGCAAGTTCTAGTTTATGAATGACAGTCAGGTTATGCTTGATCTTTTCACTCGTGAGTGTGGCTGTTTCTCTCTATCAGCTGACCACAGCAGCTGCA